ACCTAACACTAACGTAACCTAACACTGACGTAGCCTAACAACGTAACCTACGTAACCTAACACTAACGTAACCTAACACTAACGTAACCTATCACTGACGTAACCTAACACTGACGTAACCTAACACTGACGTAACCTAACACTTGTAACCTAACACTAACGTAACCTAACACTAACGTAACCTATCACTGACGTAACCTAACACTGACGTAACCTAACACTGACAACCTAACACTAACACTACCGAACGTAACCTTACACTTACGTAACCTAACATTAACGTAACCTAAACACGTAAACACTAACGTAACCTAACACTAACGTAAGTAACCTAACATTAACGTACCCTAACATTAACGTAAGCTAACACTAACGTAACCTAACACTCACGTAACCTATCACTGACGTAACCTAACACTAACGTAACCTAACACTAACGTAACCTAACACTAACGCAACCTAAGACTAACATACCCTAGCACTAACGTAACCTAACACTAACGTAACCTATCACTGACGTAACCTAACACTGACGTAACCTAACACTGACGTAACCTAACACTAACGTAACCCAACACTAACGTAACCTAACACTTACGTAACCTTACACTTACGTAACCTAACATTAACGTAACCAAACACTAACGTAACCTAACACTAACGTAACCTAACACTTACGTAACCTTACACTTACGTAACCTAACATTAACGTACCCTAACATTAACGTAAGCTAACACTAACGTAACCTAACACTAACGTAACCTAACACTAACGTAACGTAACCTAACCTAACCTAACCTAAACTAACCTTCTAACATAGAAATGGGTTTCCGGGGCGGTCAGGGGGTTTCCGGAGCGGTTAGGGGGTTTCAGGGGCGGTTAGGGGGTTTCCAGGGCGATTAGGGGGTTTCAGGGGCGGTTAGGGGGGTTTCAGGGGAGGTTATTGGGATTCCAGGGAGGTTAGGGTGATTCCAGGGCGGTTAGGGGGTTTCCGGGGCGGTTTTGGGGTATCAGGGGCGTTTAGGGGGATTCCAGGGAACTTAGGGGGTTTCAGGGGCGGTTAGGGGGTTTCAGGGGCGGTTAGGGGGTTTCCCGTTTTCTATGATAATCTACTTCGCAAAATTAGGTTATATTTCCCCTAAAATTCGAATATCTACTTCCCCGAAATGTCAGAACTACGTTCGTTGACCACTGGACCATCGGGGCTCTTACAGATACACGTGAATCTGATATATTTCTAGTTCCCACTTTGCCTGTTCAAAGGAAAAAGGCAGCCCTGAACCTCAAATGGCATGGAATAGTTAGTATATTGCATTATGTTAATATATGCAAGTAAATTAACCCTAGGTAAGCTTCATAACACCTCACAAAGCCAGGATTATAAGAATGGTCTAAAACATTTAACCAGGCAACTCTTCGTTTTTGCCAGCTGGTTCCTTTACGAAATAATACACTTGAACAATTTTATATTTCATACACACTACACCCAATTCTTCTCAATTTAATATTTTATAATAATATCCTAAATATTCTCTTATTTATTCCTTCAGAAATCTTCAATTCGTCCACCAAAAACAAAAAACTTATAAATTACTAAACAAAAGAAACGTATTCATGAACTCCTCCCAGAGTGCGTCCGCCATTTTATCAGATCACCATTGCAGACGACACAGTGAATAAAGCTTCTCTTCTATCCAAAAAACCCTATTCCCTGTCTCAACGTATTATTACTGTTTCTGGTTAACATATTCAGACTTATAAATATGCCAGGGTAGTGAAGGTACAATATGAATGTGAATGAATTCTTCGAATTCATTCAGAGACTATAGTTGGGTAAGAAGTGGAATTTAACACAATGCTTCCCAGAAGTTTCCTGAGCAATAACAATTTTGCATATATGATCCATATCTCTGGCTTGCTCAGCTGCTGAATTACTCTTCTAGTGTGGTGGGGCTTGGGATTTTTATGTGTGCATAGCCTCAGCTGATGAACCCCTTAATTTGGCTGGGGGGGCCTTGGCCTACCAGTTTGGCAATAAGATATTGTTACGCCGTCTCTTAATTTACTTAAATATCCAGGTTCTAGGCGTAACCAAACAAAAAGTGAAGTAAAATAAAAGAGAATAAAAATAAATAAAGTAAACCTTTAAGAATTTAATTGATTAAATATTAACACAATAAAGAGCCTCGTAGGCTGTCACAACAAATTGACTCACCATCGAAACTTTTAAGACACAAGTGATACAAAACATCGAAACATCGAAAGAATAAAAATAAAGCATTGGATTACGTTAACACTGCATAAACATATAAAAACTATCACTGAAATTAACTAACGTGAAACAACACTGAATTACTTGAATACAACTAAGCAAATACTGATGGACACAAACAGAGACATAAATAGGTACTCACATAGATATACCACATTGGTGGCGACAGGAACAACACAAATAAATTAAGTATAAGTAACAAGTGACACTCAAAGGATGTGTATTGT